CTGCGTGATGCGCATTTAAAAATCAAAAATCACCAAATTTCAATCAAACTACAAACTGTAGAAAGTCTTTGCATAAGTATATAAATATATATATACAAAATATATATTTATTTGCATTGACTACCTCTATTACACATTCTTACATAAGTCGCTGGCTTAACGGTTAACTCTAACTAAGTTTGGCTGCTCCTTGACCCAGTTAGAGGCGAGCCCAAAAAACTCACTTTTCTAGATTCGCTGAAATTCTTGTCAACTTTTTTCACTTCGGTTTCGCTTTTTTTATTTATGTCGCACGTTTTTCTTTTATCTTCTTTGGATTCAGTTTTTGTGCATCCTTAGCTGTTTAAACCGTTACAAGAAGTTGCACGTTTCTGATTGGCTGCAGCAGAAGCAGCGGCAGAGCTAGCGAACGGGCAGTCAACCGCGCGCGCAAACGTTTCAAATTCAACTAAAGCGGCCAACGGCTGAGCCAAGCGATAAAAGCGCCACGAAAAAATGCACAGGCGAGCGCTTGAAGAGGGGGCGGGCGAGCAGGCGAGACATAGGCAGAAGCTACCCAAAACGATAAACCTGTATGCAAGACATGGACGTGGACTTGGTGTTGGTCTTGGTCTTAGTGTTTGGTGCTGCTGTTGGCGTTGGCTTTTGGTCTTGGCCGATTGAGTGTGTGCGTTTGATTTCCTCTTTGCCAAAAAGCAGACAGAGCTATGAGCTATGAGCCATGAACTAGGAAGTGCCATGAGTCATAGTCCTCCATCAAATTGAGGTCGCGTGCCACAGAGGCAGCAAATTAGTTTCACTAACGTTCATCACAATCGACATGAGTTCTGGGCCTGGTCATTCAAAACTTTCCATGCGTATTGAATGCGACTGTGCGTACAACCAAGAGATGCCAGTTGCGGTTTTCCAATCGAGTGCTGTCCACAAGGCGTTTGGCCAGTTGTCCAGGCGCTTGTCTAGTTTTTAACAATTTAGAACTTGCTTTACAAGCAGTTAACCAAGACGTGTGCGTGAGCCATAACAGGCTGCCGTTTCGTTTTGAAAGTGAGTCCAGAAGTCTGGAAAACTGGGTCAAGGTTCTGCATATGGGAAAACGATTAAAATAGCTGAGGCGAAAATGTGAAATGCAAGTATTTTAATTTTTATATTATAGCCATTTTTCATAAATATTTACTACTTAATTAAGACAATTTTAGACGCGTAAATGGCGCCATCATAAAGTACGTGGTGAAAATTTATTGAGGCTCATGTAAATCGAATAAATCGTTATCAGCGAACCCTTGCGCGTACGTGCCGTTGGCTTTAATGAAGCGTTGCACGCTGATTGACATAATTTCACACAGTTAAACGCTTTCCATTTGCTATTGCTTCATTTAAATAAAAGCCGCAAACCCATTTTATTGGCCTTGCATAATGGTTGGCGCTTCGAATACATTTAAAGTCTGCAAATAACATTCAAATGCTAACGCTCAACGTGGCATAGTGCTGCCAGACTGCGTCGAGTGAGTGAGAAATGATATGCTGGCTGCCGCAACAATAACTATCGCATTGTTATCGATTTTTTATTTAATCAAATGTATGTAACAACAAAATATGAACATTTTTTAGACAATAGTAAATACATCTTTTAGTATTGCAATGTACTCCTCAGCTCCCTTGGCATTGGCTTCTTTATAGTATGGCAGCTCACCGAGGCGTGCCAGCCAGGCGGTAATCTTCGGATACTTCTCCGGATCGATGCTAACCATGGCAGGCAAAGATGATGCTGTAGCGCCACAGCAAAAATCGGCAATTGTCACAGTATCGCCAATCAAATAGGGACTATCACCCAGAAAGTTTTCCAGATGACCATAAGCATCGATAATGTTGTCWATCTTCTCCTGGGGCACTGTCGTGACCTTCTTGTAAAAATACGGTACACTTATGTTCCTCAACGACATGAAGAGAACACTGGCATCAAAATACAAGCGCTGCTCCAGCTTAGCTCTCTTCACTAGATCCTTCGGATAGAGATCATCCGATTTTCCATACTTATCCACCAGATAGCAACAGATAGCATGGGAGTCCCATATTAAGGTACCATCGTCATCCAAGAGGGGCACCGTATGCTGTGGATTCTTCTCCAAAAATTCCTCAGTTCTATGCTCTCCTTTCAAAAGATCGACGATTTTGTATTCAAAGGGCACATCGAGCGCACGCAGAGTTAGAAGGCAGGCACGCACTGGGGGACTTATGTCCAAGCCGTAGAGCACCAATTTCGACATACTTAAATTCAACTCTGAGCACAGATAAGAGCGCAGACAACTATATGAACCGGGGTGTAGCCGGTAACTGCATATACGTATATAGCTGTTCGACTTCTAAGGCCTCACATATGCTGAGCGAGCTTTTTTATAGAGCTGTTGAGCCGACTAAGCATGATGAGTGAAAAGCTCAATCTATAAATAGATTGAAATGAACAAAGTTGTCGCCGCTCAAATTTCATTTAATTGTAAGCCCAGCAACAAAAACTATTTTAATAAATTTCTGCATAAATATAAGCAACTAATAATATCGCTAAGCAGACATTTTCTTACAATTTAAAATACCCGTTGATATAATGTAAAAAAAGGCTATAGATAAGACGCGTTTAAAGTCTTCACAATCAACATTCAAATGCTAACGCTTGGTTCGACTCAGTGCTGCCAGACTGCATCAAGTGCGTGAGTGTTATACAGCCCAGCTGCGGGTTATTGCAACTAAAATTTTCACATTGCTATCGATATTTTATTGAATTAAGTAGATTTATAAATATGTATGTATAAAAAGTATTAATATTTTTTTAGACAATAGTAAATGCACCCTTAAGCATTTCAATATACTCCTCAGCACCATTCCCATTGGCCTCCTTATAGTATGGAAGCTCACTGAGACGGTCCAGCCAGGCGGTAATCTTTGGATACTTCTCCGGATCGATGCTCACCATGGCAGGCAAAGAAGATGCTGTAGCGGCACAGCAGAAATCGGCAATAGTCACAGTATCGCCAGTCAAATAACGACTGTCACCCAGAAAGGTYTCCAGATGACCATAAGCATCGATAATGTTGTCWATCTTCTCCTGGGGCACTGTCGTGACCTTCTTATGGAAATATGGCGCACATATGTTCCTCAACGACATGAAGAGAACACTGGCATCAAAATACAAGCGCTGCTCCAGCTTAGCTCTCTTCACTAGATCCTTCGGATAAAGATCGTCAGATTTTCCATACTTATCCACCAGGTAGCAACAGATAGCATGAGAGTCCCATATTAAGGTACCGTCGTCATCCAAGAGGGGCACCGTGTGCTGTGGATTCTTCTGCATGAATTCATCAGTTCTATGCTCGCCACTCAACAGATCAACGATTTTATATTGAAAGGGCACATCGAGCGCACGCAGGGTCAGAAGACAGGCACGCACTGGGGGACTTATGTCCATGCCGTAGAGCACCAATTTCGACATACTTAAATTCAACTCTGAACACAGACAAGAGAAAAAGCAACTATTTAATCGGGGCGTATCCGGCAACTGCATAGAGCTGTTCGACTTCTAGGGCTTCATATATGCAGCTCGAGCTTTTTATAGTGCTCTTGAGCCGGCAATACATTCTGAGTAAAAAGCTCATGCTATAAATAGAATAATGTAAACAGAATTGTTCTCAGTGCTCAAATTTCTTTAATTCGAAGCCCAGCTGCAAAGTCGCATTTAATAAAGTTTTTCAGTATAATGCAGCTTAGTATAAACAATTGTGCACTTTAGTTTCTCTAAACATTTTCGTTACAATTTGTGGCACCTTATCTGTTGATGTAATTTTCAAACAAACGATATAGATAAGCCAATCAAGCAAGGCAGGTAAAGTAAATATTATCTTAAGACGCGTATCATACACAGTATAAAGTTGTTCATTACATACTTATATATAAGACAAACAGACATTGAGTATTTACTATCGAAACTGTTTATTAGTTTATGCTAAAAATCTGCAATCTCGAATCCCATTATTTACTTGCATTCAAAAATGAATAGTTGCGCGCCTTACATGGCCAGTGTTGCTAAATGCTAAATTAGCAGTACTGCATAATGTCACCAACTAGCACACACCTGCAAGCAGCGAAACAGACAAAAGAAGACAGAGATGTAACGATGAAATACCCTGCACTAAGTGAATCCTCAATGCTGTCATATTTGATACACTTTTTAAGAGTTTTTCTACTATTAAATAATAGTAAAATAATTAAAGTAAAAGAAATCTGTTATTATCAGCAAAGAAACTCGCATTTAAGTTGCTTCTACTTGGATAAATTATCAACTCTCTATTGAATCAATATACCCCACAGCGCAATGTTGACAGGGTACAACAACACACAGTCTTTGTGCAACGCATTTTCCTTACTATCAACGAATTAAAACAGAAAATTAAACATTTTCCATGCCAAACACTAAATAATTGCACAACCACCGCAACCATCGGACGCTCAAGGAGCCGCAACGTTTCGTGGCTGGACAGAAAGACGAAATGACGGCACGGAATCCCCAAACACTGATGGCACTGCCCAACGAAGAGAATTTCGACTTCCTCTTCAAAATTGTGCTCATCGGGGACTGTTGCACGGGCAAGACATCAATACTGCAGCGCTTCAAGACGGGCAACTATGTGGAGCGGCACGGGAACACCATTGGCGTCGACTTCTCAATGAAAACCATTGAAGTCGAGGGCAAGCAAGTCAAGGTGAGACATCTGCGCAAATGCCAATGTCATATGAGCTATAATAATGATGTCTGTGTTCTGGTACTTCCTCAAACTAGCTACAAATCTGGGATACCGCTGGACAGGAGCGATTTCGCACCATTACTCAGAGCTATTACCGTGCCAATAATGGTGTCATAATTGGTGAGTAAATTTAAAAAAATGCAGGTTGGAGTAGTTGATCGACTGGGAGATACCCTGGAATACTCTATTAGTCAATAGATGTGATGAGTTGAAGCCAACTCCATAAATGTAAGGACCTACGGAAGAGCAGGACTCAGCAGTTTACATATATACATATATCAACCCTCTGCCACCTGTTTGTAAATCATAATACCCCTCTGTAGTCTGACTAACAAAGACTAGGTAGCTAAGGCCCCGGCAACTCTTATCATGACCTATTGATCCTATTGTCATGGCCCGTTCGCTGATAAGCGAAAGGCCGCACATATTTCTATTACTATCGAGTGCGCCGTGATTTTAATAGCATTCGCTTTGCCCCCTTATCAGCTGTGGAGAATGGTTGTTAAGCACTTCTTTTTATGACAGTTTACGACATAACGAAACGTGCGACATTTGCCAATCTGCAAAAGTGGATCGAGGAGGTGCGGCGCTATACAGCCTCCAATGTGCTGATCATATTGATTGGCAACAAGTGCGACCTGGAATCCGAGCGCGAGGTGGACTTTGAGGAGGCGCGCCAAATGTGTCAGTATATACCTGAAATCCTATTCGTGATGGAAACGTCCGCCAAGGAGAACACAAACGTCGAAGATGCCTTTCGCTGTCTGGCCACGGAACTGAAGGTGGGTGTGAAGGACATCAATTGAAATGCAGTTTGATTGATTTCTTCTTATGCCCTCGCAGCGACAACACGATTCGAGCAACGTCCAGGCCTTGGATGAGAACACCGTGCAGCTGGGCCAGAGCAAGCCGCTGAAGAGCTGCAGCAGCTCCTGCAATCTCACATAGACAACTCCATTTACTTATGATTTGGATTTTGATTTTATTTTTGTGATCAAATGTTCATGTGGCTATAATTTTTAGTATTTATACATTATATTTTATTTTGTTAATGTTTTGTATGTCTTCTACTCGCTGAGACGAGTAACTAAAACTTAATTTATTCATTTAACATACATATCTATGTTTATATATATAACTGTATTTATTTTGGTGGCTAGAGTACAAAACAATCTCACACATCACATTACACAAACAACAACAACAAGAATAATAACAACGTCAATTAGAATTCACGTTCTCTTCATTAGTTCTTCGATAACAGAGTAAATAAAATACGTCCAATTCTGTATTAAAAAAAAAAAAAAAAGCAAACATTTTCAGAAAATAAAAACTTGTTTATTTTATACATTTATTGGAAGTTATTTAATTGGCTGCTTAGTTCGTAACATATACATACACATACATAATATAGATTTAATTTTATTGAGGGGCTTTCTTGACATAAGTGTGTGTGTGTGAAGCGTCTCTTCAAACAATTCTCTCTCTTTCGACCTTTCGCTTTCGCTTTCCTTCTCATTCGCTTTCTCATTCGTATAATTAGTTATGTCTTTACATTTACAATTAATTATATAAAAAATTTATTTATTTGTCTAAATTAATTGTTTAACTATAAGCTAGTTGCGTCTGCATCTGCGTCTGTCTTTCTGTCTGTCATTTGTTTTTAATGCGCTGCGCAACCCATTCCAAGCCCTGATACAGTCCCTCGCCCGTTAGCGCACAACACGCCTGGATGTGCCACTGATGTTTCTTGATCGAGGTGAGATCCAACTGCCTGGAGATTTCCGCCGCTGACATTGATCCCTTCAGATCCTGTTTGTTGGCATAGACGAGCAGGCTGGCTTTACTCAAATCCTCGTGCTGCAGCATCCGATAGAGCTCCTCGCGCGTAACAGCCAAACGTTCGCGATCCGTCGAATCGATCACCATTATCACGAGCTCTGTGTTGGTGTAATATGTGCTCCACGCGGCCCGCAAGCTCTGCTGGCCACCCAAGTCCCAGACCAGGAAGTGTATGTTCCGCCAGACGACTTCCTCAACGTTGGAGCCAATCGTGGGACTCGTGTGGACGACTTCGTTCATCAGAAACTGATACAATATTGTTGTCTTGCCCGCATTGTCGAGGCCAACCATTACCAGTTTGTGCTCCTCGTTGCCAAACATACGCCAGAGACGCGACAGTAATAGCCCCATCTCCAAATTATTGTTAGTTTGGGCGCGCGCGGGTGTCTATGTGTGTGTGTCCCTGCCTATGTGTGGAAGCGGACGTATTTGTTGTTAATTGGTGACAAAAAAAAATCACACAATCGCAGGTATCGCAATCTATGCGCATATATGCATATGTATATATGCCCGTTTCACACTGTATGCGCGTGTGTGAGAGTGCGTCAGTGTGTGCGTAAGCGTGTGGGTTGTCGTTCACGATGCCTTTGTTGTTGCGCAGCGGAAGGCCAACTGTAAATTATGCACTCACTCTCAGCTTGTCTGGTTCACGCACCACACAGCACGCTGCACCTTAGGGTTTCTTCAATTTGTTTTTCTTTATTCTATAGCTATTCTTAATCACTGGGCCCAAACACTTGTTGTTATTGTTATTATGTTATCACGTCGATTTAGGTAGGCTTTGCTTTAGTTTTTGTGTTGAAACGAAAATTGCTCACGATTTCAGCTAGATATGTGAACAGCATATCGATATATCGGCGATTCGATGTTACGATATTTCAGCATTGCCCTTTCGATATTTATGAGCTATCGACACTGTTAATAACGAACTCTTTTACAGTGTTGCCAGATTAGCTATTTAATAGCATTTTTAGCTATTTTTGAACCCTAAAWGCTATGAAAATTTTGAAAATGCTATTAGCTATAAATTTAGCTATTTTACAAACGAATATTTTGAACTTGATTTTAGTATTTAAAGCACAAAAAAAAAAAAANTATCGTACTTATACCGTCACTAGTTGTGAATTTACACCATCGCTAATTCTTCTTGGCGCGCTTCTTGGCATTAATTGTTAAGCAGAAATTTCGTGATTCCTGGAAAACAATCACCGAATTTAAGGATTGGATTAAGGAGGATGAGTCGGACAACACGCGGACGTATTGTATATACTGCAAATGCAGTGTTTTTGCCAAATTGCACGCTATTAAAATGCATGCCGCGAAAAAAAACATAAAACTGGCGCCTTTGGGCAAAAAATTTAAACATTTTTCCATGATTCCATTTAAACAAAATCAAAAATATATTTCTGATGATGATTTGGATGTGGACCAAATTGTAACATTATTAAATAACATTTAAAAATAAAATTTTAAGTAAATGCATAATGCATAAAGGATTCAGCTATTTCGTAAGCTATTTTAAAATTTGTTTAGCTATTTTCAGCTATTTTTTAAAGACGATTTTGCTATTTTTATGTCTCAAAACCTGGCAACACTGCTCTTTTAGTTGGTTCTAAAATTTAACATTGTTAAATTAGATCAATTTTGAAAGCTGACAAAATATATAATAAAACTTAAGCAATATTTTCTAAGCATGCTAGTTCGGGTGATTCAAGTAATATTCATTTTAATTAGGCTAATTGTATCTCTAAAAGAAGTTCCACTTGCCAATATTCAAAATTCATGCCAGACTATATATTCATATATAAAGGAATATTATCTTTTAAACACATTTTTAGTTTTGAAACCATATTTTTACAGCTACAGCTTTTGACATTTTATGTGTGACTAAACTCCGAGCTGCTTCGAAAATATTTTCAAAAAATTTGTTTGCATTTACTTATCGTTAATAAAATGAATGTCCTGGAAACCTTTCTTACGTGTTACCAGTTTCTTACTGATCCCATCACGGACCTCGACATGGATCTGGAATTTAACGAGAAGCTAGCCGAAAAATGTGAAGTGTTTTTGAAAGGGAAACAGACGACGAAGTCGTGTTTCGTAAATATAGACAAATATACCAAAAATGAGATTTGTATGATGGATGAAGCGTTGCCCACACCCAACGTAGATCACGTGATGGAGGTGGTCATCGATGGACTCATTGCCAACATGCTTTTTTAGTACAACAAAAGATTCGTATATTTCAAAATTTGCAAAAATTAATAGAGAGAAATTCATTGTATCAGATTTACAGAAGGGCAAAATGGCCCAAGTAACAATTGCATTAATAAACAAGATTTACATTTAAGGACTTAATGAATGTAGCAATAAGGAATAACTAAATATGGCTATATACAATACATCTATATTATATCTAAGGACACAGAAAAGATTTCTAGGATTTTCCGCTGGGCTTCTTGGACTTGGGCTTTCGAATATGCCGTTGAGTCTGTTTGCTGGGCGGCGCCAGCTCATAGCGGAAGATGATGCAGCGCCTGTCAAAGGAACTCTTGAGATCCTTGGGCTCGTAGCGATGGCCCAGCTGCTTGAAATATAGATAGATCTCCTGCAAGTCGATGGGCTCGTACATGAGTACACTTTCATGCAGGCTGGGATTGGCGCAGAGCAGATTGTGCCAGGCTATGTGCAGAGGCAGCAGCGGCTGTGGCGTCTTCTTGGTGACATTCGTCTGCAGTATATAGTACTCGAATTCATCGCAGAGCGCCGGCGGCATAGTCTGGGAGAAGCGCAACAGCTCCGTTCCGCAGGCATCTCGAAACTTGAGACTGGGCTGGAAGTCAGCGTCGGTGGGTGTGAGGCAATCAGTGCTGGCTGCTTGGAGCAGTCGGGCGTGGCCAGACTTGCCCCCCTTGCCGCCAGTCAGCGGCGTAGATTTGGAGCGGGGCAGTGGCACCTGCTGCGGCTCCTCTTCTAGAGGCAGCATAATAGGATGAGTCTGGTTATAGATATATTCCAGCAATTTGACGGCCTGTTTGCGTTTCAGTGGCTTTATGCCATACTTGTACAGCTGCTGAAGCAGCTCCGACTCGGTCATGAGCACAAAATCCGGCTTAGGTGACTGGCAGACGCGCACACTGTACACCTGACCATTTACCTCCAGTTGATCAGGAGCAGCTGGTGTGGCTGGTTCAGTAGATTGGGCAGGCTCGGTTAAGGTCTCTGTGTTGATCTCGCCTAACAGCAGCCGATCCAGGCCCCTGGGCACATCATTGCTGACATCCTGATCGTCTTTCTGAAACACCAAGCGATCGAATTCATCGAAATCATCTGCCGATTCCGCGACTTCATTGAGCAGCTCCTTAAATTTATTGGTGCTGCTGCTGGAGTGAGGCTTTATGCGCGACTCCGGCGGCGTGTCCAGAAAGGATGCATCCGTCCAGTCGTCAAGGGGTGCCTGCACTGAGTCAGTAATGGGCTGAGAGATGGCTGCATCCATGATGCCAAACTCGGCGCGTTCTTTGCTCAGAGCGCTCTTATTAGGGGAGCGCGATTTGCTGGATGTCTCTATGCAGCCATCCAAATAGGCATCCAGGTCATCCATAGTCCTAAAGAACGGCACACTTTGCGTCTTTTTCAAAGGCGGGCTGGGAGGGCTGTCATCGTCGGTGCTCTCACTGCTTGACTGCCGATCTGCTGCTTTGTCTGCCTTCCAAATCGAATAGTTGATTTCATCATCAGAGAGCAGCACTCCACCATCATCATCATCATCCTTATCATTGTCATCATCATCGCCGCTGTCTTGTGTTAAATCAATGCTTGCATTCGAGTGACTCAGCGGAGTTGTAAATGGCGAGATGGGATTATCTATAAAGGAGGTGCTCCGACGGCTTAAGGGACTCTTGAAGCTGGCCTCCAGCTGTCCGGACGATTGCGTCAAGCTGAAGGCTAGCTTTGTGTTCTCCAGCTGACTAAAACTGAGTGTTGAGTCTGAAGCAGCAAGCGACGCTGCAGGGGAATTTATTTTCAAGGAATGATCCGTTGAGTCAGCCTTCGGCTGTCTCGACTGGCTCGCATATTTGGCATACAGCTCCTCAGAGATCTCACAGGGCTCCGGCTGCTCACTCAATTCAACATCATCATCGAAGTCTATGATGGGATTTGGTGGAAAAATGTGCTGCTCGAAAAGAGATTTACTGGAGTGGGATTCCATGGCGGCATCCGATGAATCTGACTTCTGTGTCAAGTCCACAAAATTTTCTGTTGAGAAAAGTCAAATGTAAATTCAATTTTGGTAATGCAGATGTACGGAAACAACTTACCTTCCACAGTTTCAGGCTCCGCTTCAACATGTTTTACAGTCTTCACTGAAACAGAGGCGATTTCATTATGAGTTCTCCTCCATTCAATTCTCTTTCCTTACCTTCGTCACTGGAGTAGACTTCGTAGCTATTCATGTCGGTGGTGCTTATATTCTTGTAGACCTTCAATGAAAAGTTTTGCATCTCGATAGCTGCGCTGCCTGGGGCCGACTCCTCCTCCTCATCATCCGAGTCCGCAAAGAGATCGGGTGAAGTGCAGCGCGTGCTCTGCGTGGGCAAAGTGAGCAGAGCTGATGAGCAGCTGGGCTGCCTGTTCTCCTTATCGTTACTCAGCTCCTCAACTTGTGGCGTCATTCGGGCTCGTTTATCCGGCGGCTCCTTTAAAGGACTCGCAGCGCTTAATGTGATATGCACTTGCTCCTCAGCCACCCCGCTCTGCTCCTGCTCGACTTCAATGATGACTTCAGTTTTTAAGGTCTCATCCTGCTCAGCAGGCTGACTAGTATCGTGAATCATATTGTCCACCACCAGTTTTTCCAGGTCATCCAACTCCCGCTGCTCAGCAGCCGCACCAAAATGCTCCTCCAGCTCTTTGTAGACCTGCTCCAATTGTTGCCTTCTGCGCTGGCCCGCGGCGCTTTCCCGCTTCGGCGATAGATCCCGGCCAGGTATGGCCTCCCAGCTCTTTAGCAAATGATGCGCAGGTGTACGACTGACTTCCATTAGGTCCTGTACATAGTATGCAGGCAGATTTGTGAGAGGTTCCTCGCTTGGCTCATGGATGATGCGTTGCTCCGCTTTGACTTGCAATCGCTGCAGATACTTGCTGATCAGCTCGAATGGCAATTGCAGCTCTGGGCTCGGTAGCTTTGTGCGCACCTGTTGCTTCATTAGCGCATCCACCTTGGCCCGCAACTTCTTCAACTGCTCCTCCGGATCGCGTAAAGTGAGAGGCGTAAATTTGTTTGCCCATTTGCAGCGTTTGCCCCGCTTGGGCACGGCAGCAAACGTGAGCACATTGTATTCTATAAGAAATAGTAAATTGACAGATTATTGAAGCATTCTTAGTGGTTCATTGACTCACCCTCCTTGGCAGCTGTGCGAAAGCCGTATTTTTGCAGCTTGCGCCTTATATTATCCGTTGACTGATTCGCTGCATCTTCAATTAGGTTAACCACTTCCTCCCGCTCGTCCTCCGTGTCCTGTAGTCGAAGTCTTCCATGCTTCTCTGCCTCCGATTTGGACAAGGCCAGCGCCATTTCAATGTCATCGGGACTAAAGTTGTCGGCCATGCAATGCTGTGCCGTCACCTCCGAGAAGAGCTGTTCGTTGCGCAGGAAGTCGCTTATGGTGGGCTGCTTACTCCGTCCGCCTCCGCGAGCTCTTTTCTGAGTTGTCGCACTTCTCAGCTTGGGCGCCTTCTTGGGCTTGGGCACAGCAGTGGGCGCATCCTGACGGCTGGCACGCGTCTTCTTCCTACTGGGCTCGGCAAAGAGTTGCTCCTGCTCCTCGGACTGAGCTGCTGCAGCATTGCTTGAGCTCTCAGCTTGATCGAAGTACTTGGACAAAGTCAGGGGCACGCTGCTTGCTTTCCTGGAGCTTAAAGTAGTAAAGGAAACAAGAACTTTAGTATGACTACAACATTTTATTAGTAAACTGAAGCACAACTAATAAAAGTTTCATTGGCCGACATACCGCTGCTTGGAGTTCGCGGTTTGGAGTTTTTGAAAATTTGCTCGTCGAGTTTCTCTGTCCATTTTGTGTTTTTGCTACTTATTTCTATTATCTTGTTAACGTTCCGTGCGTAAATGCTCGGCCTCCTCGATGGCCTCTCGGATGAACTGGCTGGGACGCGGCGCAGCAAAGTCGAACAAGGCCTTACGCTCCTTCTCCAAGTCGGTGGGTGTGAGTACCTTGAGCAACCTTTCGTTGGCTATGCGCTGCATGGGCGTCAGACTGGAAAGTAGGTTGCAAGTAAATCAACAATGCAGCGCAGTGCGTTCTAGTCATCTACTTACGTCCAAAGCCCGAAAAGCAATGTGCCGGCTGCCAGAAACGCGTAGGCAAAACGATTGCGATAATGGAAGGAAGGTGTTCCTTGTGTGCGTCGAGGCTTGCGCTTGCTAGTATCAATAGATGCCATTACCGTGCTGCCGAGTTGTTTTTTCGTAGCGTGTTTATATAATTATATAATGAAATACATTTTATGCGCGCAACAATAAAGCGCCTAAACATGCAAATGATGAAACTTCTACGCTAACCAGGGCTGCACAACAAATGAACTTGGAGTCACAAGTTAAATACTAAATTATAGATTCACACGCTGACAATTGCTACACATGCAAATAATGATATTATATAAATGAACAAATTAATAATTTTGTATATTATGTTTGGAGAACTAATGAATTTATAATAACATCTGTTTATTTATGAAATATTTGTTGTGCAGCCCTGGCTCAAAACTACTCGGTAACTGTAACGATTACATTCACTTCCTAAGTAATTAACGTTAATTAGCGCACAGCGTAGGAGAGAATTGAAAATCGAGTTTAGTTTTATTTGAACGCTAATAACGTTCAGGTGCATAACATTCAGTTATTCTCGAATGAAGTGCGCCGTGTGTGTTATAAAGCATAGAATCAATCAATGTAAGTGCAGCAGTAAATAAGTGATAAGAAAATGTAACAAGAACTAATGCGTAAACTACTACGCAGGCAAAAATCAGCATCCAAACTATAGACAAAGAGAAGAGTACAGAGTACAGCGAAAACAATATAAACGAATGCGATAACAATGTGAAACAGACAAAGCAAAAGAGTTGAAAAATACAAGACACACACACAACTGCAAATAAAATTGTCTGCTTGTGTATGTGGGTGCGTGTGTATGAGTGTGTGTTAGAGAGTGGAACCAGATTCAACGGCATTTTTATACACTGCAAAAAGAGAATAGTGCTGAATATGAAATATTTAATATATTTAATCATTGTTAATGTCTCATTTTATAAATTAAAGTCAAATAAAAAATAATATTCAAGTATTATTACTAAAATAAATAGCTTTAATTGATATAATTGAATATGAAGTAGATTTCAATGTGCAGAGGCTGCTTTGTCATGTCTGATAGGGTATTTAGGCTTCGATCATATAGTGAATTTTTCTGTTTTCTTTTGCAGAAATCAGCGAATAACGAAAACAAATTTCGATATCATTTATTTTGTTTTTGTTGAGCGAAAAAAACGCCCTTTTGTGCTCGTCAGAGTCGGATAACTTTGTATCCATTCAGTGCAATTTTGTCCAGCGGGCGGCTTAGTCATGGCTCGAGACGACGAGGATCCCATCGTGGGCAGAGAGGAGGAGGCCGCCAATGAGGAGACACCGAGCACGGATCGCGGACGTCAGGATAATGAGTTGGCTCTGCCCTCGGGCGGCTGCTGCATGCCAACGAGCACCTGCCATCGCTTCCAGGCGCTCGTCTTTATGTGCCTGCTCGGCTTCGGGTCGTACTTCTGCTACGATAATCCGGGCGCCTTGCAGTCGGTGTTCAAGAAGGAGCTGGATCTGAGTGCGACGCAGTTTACGCTCATCTACTCGATCTACTCGTGGCCCAATGTTGTGCTCTGCTTCGTGGGAGGATTCCTGATTGATCGCTTGTTCGGCATTCGTCTGGGCACGATTATCTACATGCTCATCCTGCTGGTGGGTCAGCTGATCTTTGCCAGCGGAGCGCTGTTGGACACCTTTTGGCTGATGATCCTTGGCCGCTTCATCTTCGGCATCGGCGCCGAGTCGCTGGCCGTCGCCCAGAACAGCTATGCGGTGCTCTGGTTCAAGGGAAAGGAGCTGAACATGGTGTTCGGCCTGCAGCTCTCGGTGGCTCGCTTTGGCAGCACCGTTAACTTCTGGGTCATGCAGCCGATCTACAACTACGTGAGCGAGTTCTATCAGGGATATCGCGCTCTTGGCGTCGTCTTGCTGCTGGCCACGATCACCTGCGTCATGTCCCTGATCTGTGCTCTCGTGCTCGGCTGGATGGACAAGCGGGCGGAGCGGATTATGCAGCGCAACAACAACCCCTCCGGCGAAATACCCAAGCTCACGGACGTCTTCACATTCAAGGCGCCCTACTGGATGGTCTCGATCATCTGTGTCGCCTACTATGTGGCCATCTTTCCGTTCATTGCTCTCGGCCAGAAGTTCTTCATGGATCGCTTTGGCTACACGGCGGCGCAGGCCAACACCGTCGACTCGCTGGTCTACCTGATTGCTGCAGTCTCCTCGCCGATCTTCGGCTTCATCATCGACAAGCTGGGTCGCAATGTCACCTGGGTGATGTTGGCCACGCTAACCACAATTGGGGCACATGTGCTGCTCACCTTTACCCAAGTGACGCCCTATGTGGGCATGATTACCATGGGCCTATCGTACTCCATGCTGGCTGCCAGCCTCTGGCCCTTGGTGGCCCTCATCATTCCCGAATATCAGCTGGGCACCGCGTACGGCTTCTGTCAGTCCGTGCAGAATCTCGGCCTGGCTGTCATCACCATCGTGGCCGGCATCATAGCCGACCAGAGCAAGAACGACCACACCTGGGTGCAGCTCTTCTTCATGGGCTGGCTGACGATCGCCCTAATCGCCACCAGCGTCATCTGGGCCTACGACAAGAAGCATCGCGGCAATCTCAACATGAGCCCGGCTCAACGGGCGACGTATGTCAATTCGGCCAACTATCAGAACTTTGAATAGGGAACTACAATGAGCCAGCATCGTGTGTACGATAATTCTGCTTTATTATGGAATTCTATAGTTAAAGGCCCCGAAATGCGGGTCCCGAAACATTTTAACGAACTATGTGAAAAGACGGGTCTACGATTGATCTTTGATAATGTGATGAGCGACCAATGTATCGCTAGGTATTTACTGAATTGGAATTGTTTGTCTAAAAGTACACACACCCACACACACACAGATATACATATTATATATATATATATTAATGAATTACATTTATGTATTTTTAGAACAATTTATTATTAATACAATTACTGCATGTTAATCTTTTGTGTACATGTTTTACAAATTTTTAAAYAAATCAAATCTCTGTTTAAGTCCAAATGTTTAACAATAAATCATTGATATTCCATTAAATGTCTTTTGAATTCAATAGGCCTTACACTCCCCTATTGTATAGCAATAAAGATATATGTATATGTGTTGATCAAGATATAGATTGTTTTTCTTGCATTGGTTTACTTACTGGGAAATGCTGGAGCATAGTAGTACATGCTATATAGAGGTGTTTGGGAATGTTTACGAGGAAATTGGAGCGTAGTTTGTGGAGGGAGTAGTATATTAATATATATATACGTACAGAAGTCTGGTCACCCAAAGTCCACATTAGTCATTCGAATGCTAGATGATAAAGCTCATTTGACTGATTGCTCCTATTAGAAATGTGAGTTATAGCAGACTTATATAGTATACTATAGAACATGGTATCTATAGCAAGTATAGTCAAGATTGCAATTGTTGAATCAGGTCAGCATAGCTTGAATAATAAAGTTTTCCATTAACTTTCCAGTGTTGACCGATAGTGCCTCTTTAAGAAACTAAGAGGACTATAAATATAAGATAAATACGTTACTGATAGCTAGGCTATAGAACTATACTACTTCCTAGTTTGATTCAAGCATATTGAGAGATTAAAGAGGGATTGCAATTAAGCGTCTATAATGTATATTGAGAGATTGAGATTAAATAGCATATAATCTAATCTCCTTCAAGGCGTTTTTTAAGCGAACACTCGACGAACCTGCTTAGGGTTCAGCCTGAAGTTTCTCATTTTAAAACTTCTTAGATATATAAAGCTATACTTTTACAGCTTATACGCTCTACTATTTCTATAGCCAACTGATAAAGATTGGGATTAGCATCACAGTAGCTTTATAAATTCATTTAGCAAACAAATTAAAACTTATTCATAGAGAAATTTGAAATGCTAACAGTGCTAATTCAATATGTAATTGCTTTATCTGTGAGTCAACCCACATTTTAGGCACTGCCCGAATCGAACAGAATGCTTTGCTTTTCGTACAGTAAAAGTTCCACGTTTGCTTTATTTAAAACATTTTAATGTCTGTCCGTCGCTCGAGCACCTCGATGCACTGTCTGCTGTCCAGGCCGAGCACGCGTAGTTCATGCAGTGGCTTCGTCTTCTCCTCCGCCGTCTGCCCGCCGCGCAGAGTCTCGAGCAGCAGCAGAGCTGTGCCCCTCGCCGCTGTCAGCAATTTGCAAGCGTCATGAATGCTGAAATATAAGCATATAATGAGTTAGGTAAATATGATATTTAGCTAGAGCATTGAAGCGCTCTGCCATGACTCACCGCTTGAAGAGCAGCTCGGGTCGTCGTGTGTATTGGCCGAAGAGCGCGAAGAGCAGCGTCATGTCGTAGTTGAACTGGGCAGCACCTGCCGTTGAGAACCTCGTATTTAATACCATGTCCTCCAGAATGAAGTCGTCGATCTGCTGGGCCATCAGACGCAGCGTCTGGTTGAACAAATTGGCGGACAGCTCGCGCTCCAAGTTGTGCAGGAGTGTGACTAGGACCTGGAACATTTCCCCGCCGCTGGGCGAGAGGATGAAGGGCTCGCGGCTGTTCTGCTCGGGCATGCTGGGCCAGCAGTCGTGGCGGTAGTTCATCGACTTCGCCTTCATCTCGTTCACGGCCTTGTTGGCCAGATTCTTCATCAGCTGGCGTGCCCAGTGCTCCAGCTCGGCGACGGGATGCTCGAACACCGAATTGATTTCGCTGGCATTTGGCCCGGCCAGCGCTGCATGCAAATGTAAATAATGCACATTCTCGCCCCACTCGCGCAGCACCATTATCAGATAGTTGATGGCATTCAGAACGGGCAGGCTGGCCACAGCTCCGCTGCTGTGCAGCTGCACGAGTCGCCGTCGAAAGCTGTCGATCAGCTCCAGCTGCAGCTGCAGGAATTGCAGCTGATGCCCGGGCTGTATGAGCGCATAGTAACGATCCTTGATGGCGTCCAGCAGGCGCATGAACTGATCGGCACATTTCGGTATCTTCAGATCATCCTCGAAGGTATTCGGATCTATCAGCTGAAACGGCGTCTCCGCCTGCAAGATCTGGTCCATTTTCTCTGCACAAACTGGGAAAGAACAATATATTAAAATCATTATCCAAGTCTGGCCTCAATTCCATTTTACATCGCTCCTCCAGCGATATCCAGCGCAGCAGATACATGGGCTGTGTGAGCACGGAAATGGCGCTGGGAAAGCTGGCCGGATAGCCAAAGGTCTCGCGCAGCTCTGCTTCAAAGGCGAGCGTCTCATCCAGCAGATGAGCAAACAGATTCTCATCCTGCGCGATTTGCTCAATGTCCACTGCCAGCTTTTCAATGGTCAGCTGCACCAGGCCGCGCATGAATTCCAGCTGGAATAGACAACCCGATTAGTAAGGATTACAATTAGGTTGGGGATTAAATTTACTCTTAGATTGCAGTCCAATTTGCCCGCCTTCATGGCCGCTGGCTGAAACGTCTTGCCCACAAAGGAATGCGTTTGCTTGCCCCAGTTTAGGATCTGCGTGTAGAACCACTCGGGCTTGTCCAGTCGATTCGTTTGCCGCGTGCCTGTGAAGTGGAACATGAAGCGCTGGCGATACGGAGCCAGCAGCAGCTGCACCACCTTACTAATGGGCGGGCACACAATGCTGGACGTGATGCTCAGCATATTCTCATGCTCCTCCGCTGGTGATTTGATCAGGAACATATATTCGGCGAGCAGTTGTGCCTTGGCAGTGTCACGACTGGGGGAATAGCTGAGCGACTGCTGCTCCAGGTGCGCCCAGCGCATCGCCTTGAGCACAGCCTCAAACTCGCTGGAGAGACGCTGCAGCAGCAGCTTGTGCCAGTAGATGGCTGTGGCTTCAGCGTACGACTTCAGATAAGTTGCCTGCACCGACTGCAGTCGACCCACCACGCTGTGCTCACAGTCGTTGCCTTCGTAGAGCGTCAGGTAGATGTTGACCAGTTTAGCCTCGTCCTTGCCATTGATGGCGGCTCCTAGCGCTGCGCTGATCTCTTGTATGTCTTGCACCAGGCGCAGATATTGCGTCACATTCTGCAGCTGTCGCACCTGCTGTAGATCCTCTGCCACGCCATCCAGAGCCGGCTGACACTCCTTGAGCTTCTGTTTCAGCTTCGCACTGAACTGCGAAAGTTTTTCCAGCTCGAAGTCGATGCTCTCACAGACCTGCTGCTGGCATTGGAGCGCTGACTTGTAGCTGGACACGTTGAGTGGATCCTCGTAATTCAGCTGAAAGTCCAAGGCAATGAATTATATATGCTGTAATTTTGAAATTTACACTTACGTTTTGGCTGATTGCTTGCAATCGTTGCTTGGATTCATCAACGAGCAGCGCAGCCCGATGCAGCTGATTGGCATCTTTGCCAATCTTTTCATTGAGGCGCGCTACAATGCGCTGTTCCAGTTCACTCAGCTTTCCGTGCATTGTGTGCGGTACATTCAAATAAAAGTATAAAACATATAATTGGGCTATGAACACGTATAAAAATAATTGTTGATGCAGTCACTAATGAACCATGGCTGCAGCTACTAATTTGAAAGAGTGAACTAGTTTTGGTAGTTCATGGAGAACTTTTTTAATTCCACCTGTGGCGGCAAATCTGAACTAGCAAACAGAACGACAATTATTTGAGCTGGTTCAATCACACATGTGGCGCCAAATCGAAAGTGTGTCGTTTAGAGTAACAATTATTTAACAAACTTAGTATGAGTGAAGCTAAAACGTTCAGCATGGAAAATAATTAGAATTACCAGCTGCAGTGTTGATTAATGAGTAAGAGCGGGAGACCATTATTTTTTTCTACATTCGTAGTTAAACTGAAATTGAACTACCTGCTTGAGTTTTGAGCCCCAAAATAAATTTGGTCTGCTCTCATTTAATTACCTGCTTTAGGCATAACTCATCGTGACAGATCTTAGTAGGCCCGCTATACAAACTTGTTGTTCTTTCATATTCGACATTCCCCATTGAGTGCAATTGAAATTGAAATACTATCGTATGAGCTAAATCTACTTGAGTGGTTTTAGTTCAAATGAAAACTATCTGTTGCAGGGCTGTAATTTTTATCGATAGCGATAGGCCGCGTGTTATCATCTGCAGTGAATGACATTTTTCAAACACAGCCGCCAGCAGGTGTTGCAGTTAGCGTCGCGTTGCATTAACTTTTTCGTCGGGCTGCGGAAAATTTGAAGTGAAAATGTTTACGCCAAGACAAAAGGGCCACACCCCAGGTGTTGCCAACTCGCCACATACACCGCTCAGTTTTAGTCGTGAGCTACGTCAGGTTTTGCAAGAGCGAAACCTTCTGACGGCCAAGTCGCGTAAGAAAGGTAAGCGAGAAAGGGGCGTGCCCAAGCCGAAGACAAAGGACGCCTTCTAATTAGTGTTGCTATCCCTGATCAGTGTGCTCCATGCTGGACAGCAGCTCAAGTAGTCCCATCGGCTCACCGAATCCAGAGGCAGGCAAACGCATCGGCTTCCGTCTGCAGGCAGTTCAGGAGATTATCACGTCGGAGAAGTCTTACTTAGAGCAGCTGGAGCTGCTAATGAAATACTTTGTGCGGCCGCTCAAGGAGCAGGCCATCATCGATGCCGCCAACCACACGGCACTCTTTGGCCAAATCGAGATGATTCACAATTTGAATGGCGAGTTCCTGCGCGAGCTGGAGGCCAACATGGAGAATGTGGCCCATGCGTTCCTCAAGATGGCTCCGTTCTTCAAGCTCTACTCGGTCTATGCATTCGACTACCGAGGTGCATTGTTTATACTGCAAGATTTGATAAGCAAGAATCCAGTTTTTCGTAAATTTCTGGAGGAGAACGAGAGCCGTCCGGAGGTGCAGCGCAAGCTCAATTCATTGATGATTGTGCCCATACAGCGGGTGCCTCGCTACAAGCTGCTGCTGGAGCAGGTGCTGCTCTACACCAGTCCAGCCGACGCGGACTACAAGCTCCTGAAGGGTAAGCTAAGAATTAAACACAATTTCTGGGGAGGATTTCACACATTTCTTTTATAGAATCTGTCAAGGAGATCGAGGCGACGGCCTCGCACATTAACGCCTGCGTGGAGGAGCAGGAGATAACCCAGTATCTGATTCATCTGCAGAATTCTCTCGTCAATCGCACGCCCAACATCGTGAAGCCCTCGCGCCGCGTCATCAAGGAGGGCATGCTCTACAAGATCACGCACAAGGGCCAGCCCATCAAGCGCTACTGTGTGCTCATGTCGGACATCTTCATGTACTGCAAGGTGATCAAGGAGCGTGCGCCCAACACCCAGGTGGAGAACTCCCTCGAATGCTGCTGCATCTTTCCCCTGAAGAAGTGCAAGGTCTACGAGATGATGCCGGGAAACTTCAAGCTGAGTTGCCAGAGCGACGGCATCATCTTCGGCTGCGACGATCTGCAGGTGTCGCGCACCTGGGTGGGCTTCATACGGGATGCCATAGACTTGCATGTGCAGTGCCGTAAGACCCTGCGCAAGGACTCCAGCAAACGCACGCCCATCCGCAAGAAGGACATGAAGAAATTCGGCGCCGATTATGTACTGAGTCCCAACAAGCGCAAATGCGTGAGTAGCAAGGATCTCAGCTGCGATCCCTTCTGATTCCCCTTTCTTTGCAGGATTATGAGACTATTTTTCGCAACAAGAATCGCAGCACGGACTCGGATGAGGAAGCCCCCAATGAGTCACTCGGCAGTCGCAGCATTTGCTTTCCACGCAAGCGAAAGTATCCACAGCAGATGCCCCAGCCGTCCACATCCACTTTAAGCGTGACTGTCAAGCGTCCGGCGCCACCGCCGCCCACCGTGGAGCTGCGGCGCAAGGAGGAGCCGCCGTCCGCCAGCAAGGAGAATCGCATCTCCAAGCTGTACAAAATGATTGCCACCGGCGACAAGGCAAACAATCTGCGTGGCATCTTGAAGCGCAGCAAACCGACCAACAACCAGCCGCTTGATGCGGATCCCAGTTACGGCTTCGCCAGTCGCTACTCCGATTCCAAGTCATACTTCCGTGCGCACAACGTGGACAACACCATACCCACGGCCATCAAGCGCGAGGATCTGTTTGATGTAGACCTTGGCAATGGAAACTTTCGGGATGTGCTCTTTCCATTGCGCTCCAGTGGAGGCAGCCAAAAGAGTGGCGGAGTCGGGGGTGGAGGCGGCAGCGGTTGGACCACGCCTGAGCAGACTCTCAGATTAGCCGAGGAGGACGCCTTGTATGCAGTTCCACAGAAGAAGCGGGTCAAGTTCGATGATGCGCTAGATGCGTATGAGCAGAAGCCATTCGTGTTCCCCAGCAGTGGAAGCAATGCAGAGGCTATCAAAGCCCCATCGCTACGCGAGCGTATTTATGACTTTTTTGCCAATCTCTTCTAGAATTAGAATATATTGTAATTTATCGCACCACTCATTCAATCCACAATAAACGCATTTACTACATCAGCACGCGCCTCGCAGCTCTCTAACTCGGCTCATGAATCCGTCCACGGCCCGCTCGTCGATCTCCTGCTGCCAGTCGCCGTTGCGCTTGAAGTGGGAGCCAATGATGGCAGCTTGTGCATCTGGGAAATATTGACTTATGTTGTCCCTGGTTACGCCCGAGCCTATTATGAGTGGCACCTTTAGCTGGCCGGCTAGCTCCTGGACATCTGCGGGACTAGCCGCCTGACCCGTTGCCGTGCCCGTGACAATGATTCCGTCCGTGAGAAAGAATTCCGCCGCATGAGCCATTTCCAGCAGGCTGACGTCTGCTGTTATGGCATGCGAGCTGTGCTTCTTCTTCAGATCCGTAAAGACGAGCACATCCTCAGCATCGATCTGCCTGCGATAGCGCAGCAGCTGGCCGGCGCAGGCGTCCGTGTAGCCCTCATCGGCCACGTGGCCAAAGACAAAGCCTTCGGCGCGTATGAACTGCAGCTGGCAGGCCTTGGCTATGGCCAGCGACTGCTTGTTGCCACAGGCCAGCACCTGCACGCCGCAAGGCGTCTGCTTGGGCAGAATCTCGCGCACGGCCAGCGACAGTCGCGTCATGCACGAAACAATCTCAGCGCCAAGGTGGCGATCCTGCACGTAGGGTATATCGTGCATATTCTCGATGAGCACTGCATCCTGCACGATATTACACACTAGATTATATTCTTGCATATATATGATCACTCTTGGACTACCATTTGCTGCCTCCTGTACAGCTCCGCCTCGTGTTTGGCCTTCTCAATAGTCTGATTCCAGTTGCCGGCATAGCGAGGAGTGCCTTAATTTGAATATTTGCTGTATTAAAATCGTTGCTTTGAAAAATTGTTACTTCAGCATTTACCTGGCAACGTATCCACATGTATCATGCCAATTATTTTGCATTTTTGTTTACCAAATACGCTCACAAATCGCCGCATCATCAAATTAAGAATATGCTGCTAAAATATATAAACAACAATAGAGATGAGCAAAGTCGCATCAGCTGTTCTTACCACATTTCCCAACACTAATTTACTGCAACCTGTTGAGTCAGGGCTGCCAGCTGTTAGGGCAGCAGGCTAAAACGTAAAATAAAATGCTAGAGTAGCGGGCTAGTGTCTCTTCTAGGTATTTCCTCCAATTCCTTAATTCTTAATTCACTTCACTTCACTACACTTTACTGCACTGCACGACTGATCCCCATCGGGTCTGGGCAACTGAAGAAATGCTGTGGGTGTTGCGCATTATATACACCGACTCTCACTCACACACTGAGATGCGCTCAACCGATGAGCCCGACGACAGGTAGCGATCGTTGCAGTCGACCTTTGGGGGACCAATGTTGCTCTCTCTGCTGCTTCGGGTTTTACTCAAATGTAAATACCAAAGAGTATTTCTGCACACATACAGACAACTTAAATGATCTATCGTAGGTTTTCTTCGTTGCTTGCTCATAGGCTGATAGACTGAGAGACAGACGGAGTGACAACTATGCAGACAAACATACGAACAGATATACATACATACATGCATATGATATGGGCAATTGTGATTATTATTAAAATTTAAGCATCAGTAAATTTATTAAAATATTTATTTATATGGATATTGATCCCTCCAAATAAATTAATTTGCCAAAACCCCTCCAAATTAATTAATTTGCCAAGTGGCAACCATATCATTGTGCAGTGATGCCCACTCGTTAGCAGAGATCAGTCAGCCGCGGCCATTTTCATAGTGAGCACCATTTTTTCTGTGCCAGTGCAGTTTTACAATTTAAAAGTCAGCAACGGATTTTTAATTCGCGATGCATGCACTGCAGTAATCCCCAACATGCGCGTCACGTAAGTAACTGCGCTTTGTTCTTGTGCTTTTATGTTGTGCTAACACTAAGAAATGCGTCTAATGGCTGTCCATTAAAAAAGGGCGCCGCATGGAAGGCCATCACAATTCGCGACGTCCTGCTAAAACAAAAGGCAAAGGCTTATCACGGCCACAGGACGTCATGGAAACAACGGCGGCCAGGAAAAGCATTGGCAGCTGTTTGGAAATTGCGAAATGAACAGGCTGCGCGCTTTGTTAGCATTGCGTTAGCTACTCCGTGGAAAGTTCCTAAAGCGGGTTATGTTGAATTTCGCATGAATGCATGTAAGCTGCAGACAGGTGGCAGCGCCATAAGCTTTGGTTGATCTGCGTGTTGTCGCGTGACTGGCTAGAGAGGGTTAGAACACACACTTTTGCATATCGATATATAACGATGCATGCTGATCCTTGAAATACATCGATATATTCTAAAACATCGCCTCGGTATGCCTAAAATACATATTTGGTATTATATTTTAAGTTACACTTTACAGGGTATGCACTTAGTAGTCACGCCTAATGCTCAGTTGTTGTTATGCGTCCGTTGTTACATTGTTTGAAATTGTGGCGCGCATTGTCCTTGAGTTTGATTTGCTTTTGTGCCAGATCGGGGGAGCTTGCCTCGCTGGCTAACTGGGCGGCTGGCGGGTTTTGGTTTTAGGTTTGGCGCTGGCGCTGGTGTTGGCCGTGCCTATGTCTGATTGCCTGTGCTTAGCGGAAACAGCAACGGTACTCGCTGTGCGCAGCGCGCCATTTCAATTACCACGCCCCATCGCGCCTCCAACAAAAAAATAAATAACTATACAGCATCCCATTTGGGCACGGCATTCGCAATCCGCATCCGGTATTTTCATTTGTTTGCTCTGCCCTCGCATTGTTTTTGTTTGCTGCGCACACGTATGTTTTGTGCATGTTAACAATTGGGCTTTGTTTTGTTTTGTTTCGTTTTACAATATGTAAAAGTGCTCATGGCCTTTGTTCTACTCCTCTGATTGAAGCACTGCTGCGGGTCGTTTCATGCGAGAGGCAAAACCAACGATTTATTATTTGCGAAATGCACAAGCAATTAAACGAATTTAATTGAATTATGAATTGCTGATTGGATTGTGGCCTGTGAGTGAGTTGACCAAAAGCTAATGTATCGAAGGCTAAACAAATATTTGCTTTTATATTAAGTTAACTTGTCTGGGCAAAACTTTAGTTTCCAATGTTGAAAGTTTAAATTGCAATTTTCTTGCGAACTTTTAGGTATTTTTCAGGGATTCTGAAAGCAGCATGCGAAACGAAATGAATTTTTGTACACCTGCTCAGCAAACAACATAAATTATTTATAACGTGTGCTGAGCGCCACACTCGACACCTCAGCCTTGCCTTTGTTGCACACACACTCACACACACATGCACACATGCACACAGGCACATATAATGCTCAGTTGTTGTAGTTGCAACAAGTTGTTTCCGTTGCTTGCTTTGGCGATTATGCAAGACACACACTTACACACGCTTAAGCACACACACACACATAGAGACTGAGAGCATATAACGCAATTATGTGTCTGTGTGTGCTGCATTGAAAAGTAAACAGCATAGACAGGATATCCTTTGAGCAAGCAACAGTTACTCCAAGTTCCGCTTTGCAAGCATTTTCCACCTAGTTGGCACTTTTTTGTATGCCAGCTAATTAGCTGCCCATAACTTTGGCCAACATAATCAGCAGCACAAACAAGTTTTTACACTGCAATAAATTATTTATGATACTTAAAGAATTACGTATGAGGACGAAGTTGAAGTACACTCAATAGAGAAATTAATCTGTAAGAATTTATAGTATTCAACAAATAGAATTCACAATCCAAAAACATGATCTCTCTCAATCAAACATTACCCAAAACCAATATACTCCATTCACTTCGTGAACGAGTGTGAAAAGTATTGGGGTTTATAAAGCAAATAGATGGGAGCTGAATGAGTTTAAAGGCTTAGCAGCTGCGAGCTGGCCGTTAATAGAGTGTTTGCTGTATTTGCATAGGCAGCAATACCTACCTTCACACATACACATACACATGCACACATATTTATGTTTGTAAATATTTGGCATATAATCACTTTAGCTTTTAGCCTACTGAATAATTCTGCGCCCAACTTTCGGGCTAATTGAAAAGTTATCAAACTGGCAGCTGTCAGCTGCAGCCTTGACTCCCCGAGCACAGAGGTCAATCTGCAACGTGCCACACACTCTCCCTCTCGCTCTCGCACTCCCCCTCTCACTCTCGCTTTCTGTTGCTTGCTGCCTCATTAAATCAAATGTTCACACTTTGAGAATTTTTTTATTAATTGGATTTGGCTCGCTTTTGCCATATTGCGACATTGATTTCAAATTAATATATTACTCATGCGCCGCGTTGAACGCGTGATAAATTTACCATTTTATTTGGCATTCTTCGAGCGGTCGCAACTTTTTTATTTGTGTTGCGCGAATGCAATTAGTCAATAAATTTCAATGAAAATTACCAATGGCCATGCAAATGGCATAAACTGGTTGACAAAATGGATTCGCGTGTTGCTCTATCTCTGACCATAATTTCTGGCTGCCAAACTACAGCGCATCGATCATCGTTTACACTGTGTGAGTGTGTGTGTTGGTGTGTGCGTGTGTGTGTGTGTAATAGACCTGCACGCAAAGCCCGTAACACAGAATTTCAAATTGGAAAATGGAAAAACGTTGCAAACATGCCTAGCCAGCCCAGCTGAGCTGACAGTTGGCCAGCTGAATACCTGGACGAAAGACCGAATACACATGCAATTTGATTAGCTGCAAACATGAGCAGTAATCGAACCGCCTTTCAAGGCCTATTCAGTGAAAGTTTTGTTATAACTGAATGCTTGATTATAGGTAAGAGAGAGATAGAGAGGTGTATATATACAAGCTGAATATATATAGGTAAATTATTTGTTTTTCAGCTTAAGCCATTTTGGCTTTGTAAAGTTTTTGGCTGAATGCTTGTAATTCGTCTGGCTGAGGCAGCTGAAGTGAACCCATCTTGAATCAACTGACAGCTACCATTTGCATACCCTGTACTTTTGGGATGTGGGTAAGTTGAATTAGAGCTGAAATGAATCCTGCTTAAAGCAAAGTACAACTAGGAATTTTTCAGTTTATGGATTGTATTGACACAATTGATATACCATATAGCTATTAGAAATGGCTATACTGAGTTGTACTTACAGAGTATTTGTCTAGCCAAATCTTTCATTTTTTTTTTTTTTTTTCGTATCTCTTGCTTTGCTTTGAGACTTTTTTATGGCATTCAATAAGTTAGCTTGCACCGTTGCTTAATTGATTTACGTGACAAAACTTGGCAGACAAAGGCAAAGAAATCTTTCATTTTTTTTTTTTTTTTTTTCGTATCTCTTGCTTTGCTTTGAGACTTTTTTATGGCATTCAATAAGTTAGCTTGCACCGTTGCTTAATTGATTTACGTGACAAAACTTGGCAGACAAAGGCAAAGAAGAAATTGATTAAAAAAAAAAAAAAAGCGAAAAGCGGATTGATTGGAAAAAATTCCCAAAAAGGTTAAATGAAAATGATAAATACAAATAGTCTATAGAAAAGACAAGGAATCTATATTGTTGAATATATTGCAAACGTTGCACAAGTCTCAAGTGAAAGTGGACTAAATAAATGAAAAATATCACGCATACGCCACGTGCGCAGCACAGTTAGCTGCAGTGCTGAGCAGTCAAATAAATTACTCAATTCCCAGAGACCAGGTTGGCCAATGGCTCAGTAAATAAAGCAATAATATGGCCAACGAAAATTCAACTAAAACTTGAACTTTAATTAAACTACGCCACAGACAACAGCAACAACAGCAGCAACAACAACAACAACAGCAGTAACAGCAACAACCATAGCTAAAAACGTAACTCAAGGCAACGTCTTCGTGACCGTAGCTCAGGTGCAAATGCGGTCACACCCTTGAAAGCAGGCCACAGCAAAAGTAACAGCAGACAAATAAACAACAACAACAGCAACAAGGATAGCAACAACAACAACAATAACGAACGTATTAAAGTCATTTCAGCGACC